TTAGATGGGTCGGGAGTTCTGGGGGGGGCTGTCAAGGGGTGGGGATGTGGATAAGGGCTGGGGCAGTCAGGGGGCAGGTAGGGGGTAGGGTCCTAGGGGGCCAGTTAGGATGGGGGGAGGGTCTCAGGAGGGGGCAGTCAGGGGACAAGAGGCAGGGAGGCTTAGGTAGGGGGTGGAGTCCTGGGGGGCAGTCAGGGGCAGGGGTCCCAGGAGGGGGCAGGCAGGGGACAAGGAGCAGGGGGAGGGTTGGGGGTCCTGAGGGGGGCGGGAAGTGGGAGGGAGTGGAAGGGGCAGAGGCGGAGGTAGGGCAGGACTGGGGCGGGGCTCTTCCCGTCCTCTTTTTTGCTTGCTGAAATATGGTAACCCTACCATACAGGCAAAACAAGAAAGAGGTAGAGATTTTATAACCACAATCGTTGATAAGTGATTTCTTGCCAGACAGATGCCATCACATAAAGTTTTCTTTAGCCATCTTAAGATCTGTTTCTTTATCTGGTGATGATAGATCCTATTAGAACAGGAGCCTCCCTCGTCGCCCGATAGTTCATTGGTTTGGTATAATGTAGAGGGAATGTGAGGACCTGCCTTTCTGCTTCTTGGCTCAGGGCTGCCGCGTGCCAATGTGGCTGCAGAAAATGGCCTCAGACCTTACAGCGGGGGGGGGCTGGGAGCCAGGACGCCTGGGTTCTATCCCTGGCATTGGGAGGGAAGTGGGGCCTAATGCAGGGGTGGGCAAACTTTTTGGCCCGAAGGCCACATCTGGGTATGGAAATTGTATGGCGGGCCAGGAATGCTCATGAAATCGGGGGTTAGGATGCGGGAGGGGTGAGGGCTCCAGCTGGAGGTGCGGGCTCTGGGGTAGGGCCAGACATGAGGAGTTCAGGGTGCGGAAGGGGGATCCGGGAGGGGGCAGGGGGTTGGGGTGCAGGTGGGGAGATGAGGGCTCTGGCTTGGGGGGTGGGGTCTGGGGTGCCGGAGAGTGGGACTGAGGGGTTTGGAGAATGGGAGGGGGATGAGGGCTGCAGCAGGGGTTTGGGTGCTGGAGGGGGTGAAGGATGCAGGCTCCGGGCGGCGCTTACCTCAAGCAGCTCCCGGAAGCAGCGGCATTTGCTCCCTCCGGCTACTACGCGGAGGCGCAGCCAGGAGTCTCTGCTTGCTACCCCGTCCGCAGGCACCGCCCCTGCAGTTCCCAATGGCTGCAGTTGCCGGCCAATGGGAGCTGCAGGAGCAGTGCTTGGGGCGGGGGCAGGGGCAGCGTTGCGGAGCCCCCAGCTGGCCCTACGACATAGGGGCCAGAGGGAGGACATGCTGCCGTATCTGGGAGCTGCGTGGGGCCATGGCACACACTCCCCGGCAGGAGCTCGAAGGCCGGATTAAAACGTCTGAAGAGCCAGATGCGGCCCCTGGGCCGAAGTTTGCCCACCCTTGGTCTAGTGGGTTAGAGCAGGAGGGCTGGGAGCCAAGTTTTTTGAGCCACCAAACTCCTGCCCCCCGCTGTAGGCCCTGTCTCCACACCAGGGTATGGGGGGGGCACAGGGATGAGAGCAGGGCCCCATTCTGTCTCTGGCCCTTTCCCACCCTTCCCTGACCCCCCAGTTCAGCCCAAGGTGAAAGTTTCCCCCACGAAATCGGGGTCCCAGCCCCACTCCCACCTGCTGGTTTGCTCGGTGATGGGGTTTTACCCCGGGGGGATCGAGATCAAGTGGCTGAAGAACGGGCAGGAGCAGACGGCCGGGGCGGTGTCCACGGAGCTGCTCCAGAACGGAGACTGGACCTTCCAGATCCTGGTGATGCTGGAGATGAGCCCCCGGCGCGGGGACGTCTACACCTGCCAGGTGGAGCACATCAGCCTGCGGGACCCCCTCGCGGCGCACTGGGGTAAGAGCCTCTGACTCTTAGCCTTCAGGGGATGGGCCTGGGTCAGAACCCCTCCACCCCCCCGGGGCAGAGAGCCAGGACGTTAGAAGGGGAACGGGAGGCTGGGCTGAACCCAAACTCCCCAAGCTCCTGTTTTCACAGCGGCGCAGCCTGACTCTGCCAGGACCCCGATGCTGCCGGGGTCGGGGGCTTCGTGCTGGGGTGATCTCCCTGGCGCCCGGACT